TCCGCTCGGTGTCTGCCGCGCTCCCGGCCCTTAGTCCCAGTTGGCCTCGCCCGCACGCTGCTTTGGTAGCTCAGATTAATGTCGGTCCGGAGGAACAATAATTAAGGTTGAAAATTTGGGGAGAGGCTCATCCATTTGAGAAATTCTTCGCTGCTACAACAGCGAACGCTGAAGGTTGGAAGTGGTGCTTCACCCACAGCCGTGGTTCCCGTTATCTTCAGGTTTTTGCTGTACACAGAAATTTGAGGTCAATAGGTATAGAGGTGATGAGATTTTCTAAAACACCAAAACCACAAGCGTTTGAAGAGAAATAGGCTCATTACAGGGTTTGCTCTTCAAAAGGGTCTCCTGTCTGCAGATAAAAACTACCAACAGTTTGAAATACAAAATTTGGCTTCAAGTCCTCAGACGCTGCAGGGTTTTTTTGTAAGTAACTATTTTGCAGTGGCTCAGAGTAAAACTGACATGGAATTTCTGCGATGTTTTGTTTTATAAAGGCTTCTTTACAAAACTTGCAGCCTTGGCTCTGTGGCAGGAGCATGGGACACTGCACTGGAGGATCCAAGGCCCTCGATCCAGGATTTTTATTTTTTTTTTTCCTGAAGCTGCGTGCATGCGGAGGGAAGAGACGTCATTGTGTGGGCAGGAAAACAAGAACTTCGGAGTCACACTCCTGCATCCTGTTTCTGTGCAGGGGGATGCAGTGGGGCGTAGTGCTGACCAGTGGATAGAAATGTATCTTCAATGCAACTAACACCCTATGGAGGAAGGCTAGCCTAGAACAGACAACGCTTATCAGAACATTTTAATCTGGGATGGGTCAAGCTGGACAAAAATCTTCTGGCTTTTCATACGGTATGTGCCCTTGCTAGAACAAAAGCCATATTCACTGTGGGTTTGGGTTAGGCACCACTGTTCTCATGTATGCTCTAATAAACATAGGTTATTTGTGTTAATAGCACAGAAAGTGAGAAATACTGTATCCAACTGGAACAAAGAAAATCTAGACAAAGGCTATCATTAATCAAATTCCAGCTGAGTATGGCATCAGGGCTATCATCTCTAATCTCAGAAAAACGCCTCTTAACAACCACAAGTAATCGGTATCTTTCCTTTTGATCAGGTTTGAAAGGCTGGAGTCTAGCCCCTTAATTTCCTGATAAGGATGACACTGGAAGTCAAACCTCTGTGGGATCCTGGCTTCTACCTGGAAGATCCTCTGATCAAGCACTAATCACATCCAACCTTGCTTATCCTGGGAAATCAGCAAAACCAGAGCAACAACAAAATATTGCCAGAGGATTTTTCTGTTCAGTTCATTTTCACTGAAGCTTAACCTCCTTGAGGAAAGTTTTTGACATGAGAGCTTTAGACAGTTTTCCACATGAAGATATTTTTTTTTTTTTTTTCTCCGAAGGGCTAAGATGCCTTTTTGGTCTATTTCTTTTTTATTTGGTTTGGGATTAGGACTCTCCTTTCTATGTATGTTCTTGTTTGTAAAGAGAAATTATCTTATTTTTTCCCTCCAGGAATAAAACAACTTTATAATCAAAATCCAAAATGACAAAAGCTAAATTTGCTGCTTTTTAAACAGACATCTGCTCACAATGTGTAAACCAATAAATAAAATTGCTTCGGGTTAGTTACATGTTGTTCGCAAGGAAACATATCTTTATTTTATCACATGTAAAATACAGATAATGAATTGCATACCAAATAAATTAAGAAATACGCTAGGTTTTGTCTCTGCATTGTTAGTGTACAACCTGGGTATGTTTTAATGAGATTTTTCAAAGTTCCTACTCAGTGTTACATTTGTCATTAATATTCTGCTGCAGTAGTTGTATACTAAGCGTATTTTCTTGACAAGCTATAAAGAACACACTATTCATGCATATTTAGGTAATAATTTTGATGTATTATCATTTGCATATAGGCTGGTGGATTTGTAACCAATTGCTGGACAAACTCAGAGAACTATTTGTTGTGTAAGTGTATGCGTATGTCATTCAAAGCAATTCGTGTGCTGAGAGGATTTCCAGAAAAAAAAATTTAATCACTTTTTTTCTACTTTCTCCTCAACTATTTAAGTAGCGTTTCTTCTTCCTTAGTGGAAAGTTTCTATAATCAATTTAATACCTAGGGTCCAAAAGATCCAAAACACACCCAAAGGGTTTGAATAGCTTCCTAGGAAGGAGTATTTTTAACACAGCCTGCATTTGGTTTGTGATGATGACAGGGAGCCTGGCCTTCTGGAGCAGGACTCAGAGCAACAGGGTGGGCTGCACAGCCAAACTGGAGGATGTAGATCTGCCACTTTCCTGATCAAGTACAGTGATAAAACAACTTTCCCTTCTATTATTTAAACAACAGTAAGAAAGTGATTACCAGAAAGAGGTCTTTAAGATAAACAAACACAGATACCTCTCTAAAATCCTCTCCCCCAAAGGTCTCCTGGGAAGCCCGGTTGTGGGTTGATCCAGCTCTCTAAGACAACTCTCCTCAGTCTCGGTTGTGTGTTCCTTTACAAAACCAGCTAGAATTCTTTTGACTGTGTGTACTACTGAGCTTTTTCCTGAGGTGGCTTAATTCTGTAAGAAATAGCTCAGAAGTATTTGTGGTGATGTGGCTTATCTTAGCTGTTCCTTCCCCTTCCTGCTTGTCTTTCCTGACAGTGCGCATTAAGCTGTACAGCCGTATTCAAATGTAAACATCCTACTAGCCATGTCAACATAGTATATTCATGAATTACTGAGCAGTTCCAAAATCAGCACAGCAGGAGACTGAGAAGGTCATTTTGTACAAGATGAGAACAGAGGCTGGCCTGTAAGCACCACAAAACATAAATATTTTTTTTCCTACTTAAATATGCTTTTTTGCAATTATTCAATGTTTTCACTCTATCACTAATCATATTTTGTATTACTAGCGTATTAGGCTAACATTCTTTCATGTCTATTAGATAACAACCTTTTAAATCTAATAGATGCTTTTACCTATGGATTTTTAATAAATAAAATTCATTCAGTGTGTTAAGATCCAAATTTTGAGAATTTATAGAGAAACTCAAAGAATGGGATTCAGGCATCAAATTTCTCATTCCGTGAAGTTATCACAGCATTTCATATTTTATATTATAAGCACTTAAACCCTCTTTATCAGTTATGAGACTATTTTAGACACTCTTAAATTATCAAGATTAAATTGGGGCATTTTTCCAGCAGCAGGACTTCAAGCTCAGATACCGTTAGCTAATAAGGAGAGAAAGCAGACAAACCAGCTGTTGCAAGACACTGAACTTTTGCCTTTGATCATCCTTTACTTGATTCATGGCCAAAACCAATCGTGTAGGTTTCGCACAGGGTAACAAAGTTTAGTGGGTGACAGAGAAATGGAGAATAAGCGATGTCAGTCGTAACACCAACCTTCTATCACTACCACCTGTATTTAAAGCAGTTTCCCAGTCCTCGTTTGGATTGACCATTGGTGTGATGAAAGACACTTTTTCCCTGTCCTTATAGCAAGAGAAATAGGACAGACAAATGGGAGAACAATAAATGCTAGTAATTTGCAAAACTATCAATATCTTACATATTAAATAATTTGCATTGTATTTCTCGGATTTGTTTTCTGAACTAGTTTATTCTACACAGTTCATCTCTCATATCTTAAGGCTGTCTTGCTTAGAAGTCTTTGACTATTTACTGTTCCTATCTTAATTCTAAAGATGTAGCAGTTTATAGAGGCTATTCAACTTGTGCCTTCAGTCATATCACCCCTTACTGCTTTCTTATTTCAGCAAATAAAACGGTATATTTACCAAACATTTTCAGAAAAATGAATTCTGATAATTTCAAAGAATTCTTGGCATAATTTTGACTCTTAAAACCACTTACTAGTTTTCCTGTTATATAGCACAGTACTCTGCCAGCTGTACACTATGTTTTAGTAACTTGATTTTAGAACTAAGTAATAAACAGAGTCATCTAAGAAATGCTATTTGTGGAACAGTAACATTTTCACCTATCAAATATATATTCTATGAGGATAGGATGAACACATAAAACTTAGGAAATATAGAAACAGTAAAGAAAAATAAAACTATTTTAAGTTATATATTACCATTTTAAAGAAACTGTCAGGGAGAAAACAATTTCATATAATGAATCAAAGATTACATTAACTTAAATTCCTTTGGATATTTGTCCTTTGGCTTTTTCTCCTTCTGCCTTTCAGGCAGAAAATTCATACATACAATGCAGTAAATCTTTTAAAATTCAGAATCTAAACACACAGTCCATATCTGCTCTGGTATTTGTGTAAATATTCTTTGGATATGTAAATACAAGTGACACTAGTATGTGTACATAATGCTATTAGCATGTACAATGCAAATGAGTAATGGTATCTCTGACAAGATAGAGATAAAAGCCAGATAACACAACTTAAAACTTCACCACACTTCTGGCTTTTTACATTTTAACATAAATCTTCATATTCCTATCAAAGGGTTTATTTTGATTTCTAAATATTTAACAATGCTATCCCACTTTTTCACTCACTGCTTTGAAAGCACTTTGCACTTCAAAAAAGGCAAGGAAACGACATCATTTCTACTCTGCATATGTAAAAACTGAGGCACAAAGGACTATTTTTTTCAGCACTCATATTTCAAATCTTAAACCTCTTCATTAAATTATGCTAGTGTCCACCAAAGTACAGGGTAACTTCTTACACTCCTTTCTTCTCCAAGTTAGCTAGCATGATAAATGTAGAGCCTTAGAAATGAGCTGGCTCAGCACTTCAAAATTGGGATACAGACAATGTACATACTTCCAAGTGGCTGGGACTCCTTAAGAAAAGTGCTTCTAAAATTATGTTTGCCCAGGCAAAACAAAGAACAAAAATGAAGTTGTTGTATTATACTTAAGCTACCTATCACTACACAATTACATGCTGGATATATTGGAAGAAAAAGAATATTTATTAAGCAGAAGTATTGTAAACATGCTAATGTATCTTATCATTACAATGTGTGAAATAGAGATTTCAATGATCTGGAATTTTGTCATAAAAACTTTATTTTATAAAAATCACAGGATCCATTTAAAAGCTTAACTGAAAAAATTTGGTAAGAATTAGTCATAAATCAACTAATTTCAACTTGATTAATCAGAAATTAACTCAAACTGAACATATCAAATGAGTTTGCTGCTGTAACACTACTAAGCAGGTACAGTTTGATTCAGTATGTGTGCTTAGATTTGTCCAACTAACTGGACACTACTACAACCATACACTAATATTTTTCTTTCCACAATGACATTTTTTATGAACTACTACCAATATGGTACCTTCAAAATAATTTTCCCACTTTAAGCCAGAAAACTGCATCTACCTACCACCATCTAGAGACATTCGAAAGCCAGTAAGGAAGTATGGAGCTTTTTCCATATCCAGCAACACTTTATTGAAGAGCATTTTAACCTTTTTCTTCTTTAGCCTTACACAGACTTTTACAGGGTAGTTAACAACTCATCAAGGCTCTTCCTGCGGTAGGCTGTCAGGTTTGTCTTGATATCGGTTAGCTAGACACCATCTAAATTTTTCTCTTTATCTCCCTGCCATCCATGAGGGATGTCCATCAGGCTCTTCCAGATTAACTTCAGAGATCGGCCATTTTATCAATATGGCAGAATTAATCCACCATATTTCAGTAAGCTTAAGAAAATACAGTTCCCTTGAATTCCAGGTGCTGGGTTGGGATTGCTTTACCTGATCTGCCATATGCATTCTTCAAAGGAGTTGACAGTGACCAGTACATGCTGGAAAGGACTTTATTTAGTAATTAAGGATAAAGCCCATTAAAGGCAAACAACTGAACTAGAAAAAAAACTCTGTGTAGGCTCAGCATTAAGGCCGAATGTGATCTGTGTTGTAGTCTATGTAACCTGAAGAATGAGACTTTATTGAAATGGCTCAAACCATGTTTGGTCCAATAGTCCATTTAAAGCAATTTTGCTTCTTCACATTTAAAACATACTAACTCTTTTGTGGTACAGTTCAGCTGAAGATTTACTGACCAACCATTACATATTTAGTGTACAGCTGTCATATGACTATTCTGGATTGAAAAGGGAGTCCACGTCAGGATCTGTGTGACTGCAATGCAAAGTGGAACCAGACAGATCAAATAGAACATGGCATCATGAAGACCTAAAAACAACCTGGTGAAGAAGATGAAAACATGGCTTTCAAGATGAAGAAGATTAACTTTCATAGTCAATTCACAACAAATAATTTTTAAAGCATTCTCATTATATACACATATACATGTTACTGTGTAAAATCAATTCTAAATAAAAGAAATATATCAGATACCAAATTACTTCAATTATATTTTCTAAGTCTACATACAAATATGTATTTTATGTTGTTTGCTCCTTTCATAATAGCTGGGAGGAAATTAGATAATAACAAAGAGTTAATTTTAATACACTGTAGGCAACCTAAGAAATCCTGTTCACTACTTTAGTACACACCTGTATTATGTAATATAGAAATAAATTTAAGCAATATAATCCAATTATAGAACAGAGGATCTGAAAATGTTTAGTAAGACTGAAAAATCTGGAAGAGAAAGAAAAGCAAAAAAATGGTAACAAACATTTTAATATGAAGTTTTTTTTATTTAAGTTAAAATCTGTGCTACTAGCTATCTACATAGTGTCTTGTTATAGCTGCTGAGTGCTGGATGGAAGTCATGATTAATGCACAAAATTCAGATATGGTGTAAAGGGCTGTTTGAAGTATCAAGCCTTATTTAATTTTGTTTTAAAATAAATTATTACAAAATAATATAAACCATAAAAAGAATACATGTGAAATTAACACTCATTCTCATTTATTCTCATGGATGCATGGTATTTCCTCATCAAAAATCTTCTCTAAGGAATAAGAGATAAAAGCATCAGCAAATAGGAATCAAAAAAGAAAATATAGGAGTTAAATGAGTTCTCTTTTATGAACGGTATGGTTTCTCTCAGTTCAAAGCACACATTTAAGCATTCATCTAGTAGCTAGAATCATTATCTACTGGCATTCTGTTAATTATTGGGTTCCAATTACTTAAATATCAGGAAGGACAACTCAAGCTGAGAAACAGCCCCTAAATGAACCTTCTCTCCATGAGGCAGTTTAGGTTATTTTCTTTTTTTTTTTTTTTTTTCCATAGCATTCAGGGATGAGATAGGAGACTCACACAACAGCTATTGGACATGATCCAAAAAACCTGAAATCTGTGAAAAAACCCTCTCCTGAGCCGGCTTTTGAATAAAACCTAGGAGTTTCTCTGAATCATAAAAGAATCAATTCATGCCTCAACTGCATTTAACAGAAGAAAAATACTTGCGTTATTCCTTAGTACATACGCACACTCATACAACGATCACAATTTATCTTGTTATGTACATGCTAATGCTACATAAGAAAACAAAAAAACCACAGGCTTACAAGTGAATTACTTAATCACTTAGGGAATTACATTTAAGACTGCAAGTGTTTGCTAGCAGGTCACTGGTCCATAGCCAATGTTTATTGGCAGTGACAATAATTTACCACTTGGATGTTGTTTATTGGCCTGTATCAATAGCATTTTCAGGCGACCTACAAGCAAACAAGGGCCCACATCATGCACACCACTGTCACAACTGCCAATAGTTAACTGTATGAGTAGTGTCAGCAGGGAGGCCACAGAGAAATTACTTACCTATCTAAAGGTGAAAACAGGACTAAGACACAGTTAATGGGATGTTGGGGCTTGTACTTTGCTAATTCTGCACACTAAAGAGTTTTCAGTACTAAAATTATTTCATCTTCATACGTGGACTTCAGGAAGGACAAAAAAAGAAAGAACATCTGCCAAATCACTCACACTGGTGCAATCTGATTTGGTTTCATTGGAACAATATTGGCTTAGGAAAATAATATTACCTATTGTACTGTGAAACATTAAGTTACTGCAGGAATTATAAAAAATATCTACAGTACACAGAACAAGGAATAGGAAAATATTAAGTGACTGGGATAAATCAAGAGTAGAGCTCAGATTTCACCATAATAACAGCCTAACCAATAACTTCAGAAATTTCCATGTCTACATTTTTTACACATGCAGGAATAAAACATACAATCTTTCACTAAACAGCCTTAATATCACTCCGAATAGAATGTGATGTAGTCCAGTAATTCAGTATGAAAGCATCAACAGTTTAAAGTGTGTCCAATAAATAATGAAGAGTTTCTGTCAAATAACTTAATTCTGAAGAACAAATTTGAAAGGCACGCTCTGTAACAGCAGTTAGCTGTAGTTGCAGTGGCTCTCCAGAAGAGGGAGGTTTTAAACTAGGTATCTTTCGTAGCAAAAAACCTCCAAACTAAAAAAACCCAAACCAAACAAAACAGAAAAAAAACCAAGCATATGGGGCAGGTAATGCTTTGCTGTGATGACAGACCAAAGGAAAAAAACCAAACCAAACAAAACAGGACCGCTCCATTCTGCAAGTTATTGCTCACATTTTAAGGATATTAAAAAATACTTATGCTAGCTTCCACTACAAAATGCTTAACTGATGTGTAGTGACCACATTCTCTAAGAATGTGGTATAATGTGTATATTAATGTATACAGAAACATGTGTAACACATATGGAATTGTGTACAATATATAGGCCAACCTCACATGTGAAATAGGTCACACCAAAAAGCAAGAAGATTTTTGGAAAAGAGATACACTATTCGTAGCAGAAGTCACACTTCAGAGAGATGATACCAGAGGCAAACCCAAGAGACACTAGATTGTTCCTAAGGAAAAAGACATCACTGTGCCTAAGACAATATTATCATTGAGGCAGAAGTAAATACTGGCACTGGTTAAGGAAGAAGTTGGTGATGTTAATGGTCTTCAGTATAGAGGAAGAAAAAGACAGTCTAGGTCTTTGGAATGCCTGCTCTAATACAGCACTGGGATCACTGTTCAGTCATAAGCATTTTCTCATTTTTGATGAATCTTAAGACACCTCACAGATGAAAGAAAAAGGGGACTGAATTTTCCTTTCTTCTAGACTTTTACTCTCTGTGTAAAACCTCTTCAATGTCTTACCAGCTTGGGTGCCCTGCAGAATACAACTGTAACAGAAGCCACCAAGACAATAATGAACTATTGTCTCAAAAGGTCTTCTGGGATAAGAATCTCACTCATAACACGCCAGTTGTCCTAATAAGCTGCTCATTAATGTGGTCTTTACTAAAGGCAGAGAACATATACGTGTGAATTGCTCAACAGCATGAAGGCAACAAAAGACAGGCACAGCTTAAAAACTGGCAACTTATAGTTGGTTGATACTCTTAATGGAGTTTTGTTACTCTAATGGAGCAATAATGAAATATCGTAATCATGGAGGATATCAAGGAGTCATAATATCACATAGCTGAAGAACCAAAATGTAATCACTGGAATGATGAGGAGGTGTAGGTGAGGTGGTGTCATCTTACAGACTTTTTGCTGGAGGCATAAGAATCAGAAGATACATGATTTGTCCCAGCAGATAGCTTTTGATAGATTTTTTTTTTTGATACAGTGTAAGATGAGCACCAAAGACAGAGTATTTATGAAGCCCACTTCTGAAGGCAGTATGCTATTAATAAAATGCTATCAAATGCTATAAGATAAATGAAATAGAGGAGAAAAAAACCACACTCTTCCTTCCCCTGTAAGCTACAGCCTTTCTTTTTTAGACGCAAGTTGAAGTAATCCAGAAAGTTTGTAAGCTCCAGCATTCCATGTGGTCCTCAGTAAGCAATATATCAAAAAATGAGGAACGAGGAAATGAAATTAAAATATTACACAAAAATCAGTGTGAACAAGAAAAGCTTGTTTCCATAATTTTCAACTGTAAACTCACTGCTAGAAAATGTGGTTTACTACAGCAAAAGCCTGGAAAGTTGCTGAGAATACAAAAAACCAATGTTCAAACTTTTGATGCTGGAGGGAAAGATAAGGGAAACATCTGGACATTACTGAAGGAGGAGACCACTGATGGCGGCTAATACTTTTCTCTATTCACTCCACAGAACACTAACATCCAAAACATACAAAAAAAAAACCCCAGAACTAAACAGAGATAATAAGATACATCTTATTAAAATTCTTTTGCTTGGTAAGAGGGTCTATGAAATAACAGTGGAAGAAAACTAATGCGATAAACAGTATCTGTTAATAAAAAGCAACTGTCTGTCATAACTGTATGTGGTGGTTCGACCCTGGCTGGATGCCAGGGGCCCACCAAAGCCGCTCTATCACTCCCCTCTAACCAGACAGAGGAGAGAAAAGTAAATCAAAAGGCTCGTGGGTCAAGATAAGGACAGGGAGAGATCATTTTATCAGTTACCATCACGGGCAAAACAGACTCAACTTGAAAAAAATAATTAATTTATTATCAATCAAAATCGGAGAAGGAGAGGAGAAAAACTGCTAGATCTTAAAAGCCTTCCCCCCACCCCTCCCTTCTTTCTGGGCTCAACTTCACTCCCAGTTCCTCTACCTACTCCCCCCAGCGGCGCAGGGGGACGGGAATGGGGGTTGAGGTCAGTTCATCACACATCATCTCTGCTGCTTCTTCTTCCTCAGGAGAGGACTCTTCACCTGCTCATGCGTGGGGTCCCTCTCACGGAGGAGAGTCCTCCACAGACTGCTCCAGTGTGGGTCCCCCATGGGGGT